AGGTTCATCTTTCCTATTTTAAAATATTGTTATTAACTAACTATAAAAATACATTAATGCTGTTTTCATCATCTTATAGCCCAACTGAAACAGTTTTTATTAAGCAAAATTAATGGCTCTCAGCACGTCTGATCGATATTCAATTTCAGCCCACATTCGCTGTGACATGTCCACGGTTACATTGGCGATGGCGTCTGTTATCCTGGTATTTTGCTCGTTATATTTTCTACAGGTGTGCGATACACGATATCCTTAACATACCCCCATACTTAATTCCTGTAATGGCGTCTGTAATTACGCTGCACCATGCTCAGTGACTTGGTCTCTGCAATCGAAACGACGCAGTGAACTTTCCTTTGCACAGTTTCCATTTTACGGGATAATACTACTCACTGGAGTAGAAAAGAAAACATAATAAAAAAATTGAGTTGGGCTACAAAATGTTGAAACTGCATGGTTGTATTTATTTAATTATTAAATTGTAAAATAATAAATATAATTTTGGACCTCCTTCTATCTTACACAAGATAGATAAATAATGTGTGTATTATTGAGTTCTTAATTTATCATAGGGTTCTTTCAAAAAACCCGTTTCAAATTGTTCGCTTTTCGCTTCATCAGCATGTGCTCCAGCTTTATTTTTATAAAGACAATTCTTATGGATTCTTCAGATAAAATAATCTTGATTTCCACAGTACTTCATCGTGTAGTTTTTGTGATAATTGGTGATGTTTTCTAGATATTGTATTAGTCCTGATCTCCTCTACTAACACGTCCTATATTTGTGGAGAATTTTTAGGTGTATAATTTGTTGTTGTTCTTTTTTTTAAATTTTTAGTGAAAAGTCAAATACGGTTGTCTGCTAGTGTCAAATAGTAGCTGTGTGGGTATACTAACACTTTCCAAGAGGTTAATTAAAATAGTATTGGCTTTTTACTTATTTACAAATCTGAAAACTGATAAATAAAATACACTCGTAAAACTGAAATATAGTTGAAAATGATTATATCGTAAGTCACTATTTGGTGATGTGTGCCAGTATCTTGGTATTATAATATGGATTCAGTTTTATACACCTAGTCTCCCGGTGGGTTTGTTTGATTTGTTTGAATTTATGCACAAAGCTACACAATGGGCTATCTGTGCTCTGCCCACCACGGGTATCGAAACCCGGTTTCTAGCGTTGTAAGTCCGCAGACATACCGCTGTGCCACTGGGGGGCCTCCCGGTGGGACAGCGGTAAGTTTATAGACTTACAACCCCCCAAAAAACAACCGGAGTTCGATTCTCCGCGATGAATATCCACATTACTGAGTATTTAAAAAGGATAGAAAATTGAAGTAAAGGATTTTTTTTTATTATTTGATCGATAAAGAAGAAACATATCTTTACGTCAATGATGTTTTCTGGCGCCTATAATAAATAAAGTTGAGTAAGTCGTATCAAAACAGCCGATATAAGGTCGTCGTGAAACGGTATGCATCAGAATGATATTTTGTTTAACGTTTCGTAAGTAGTGTGATGTCACTGAAAATGTAACATGTAAGCATGTAACAACCCTTACATACGCAAAACATTCATATCATAAATATGTGTTTAAAACAATTATTTACAATTTACAAAGTAAGGATATTCCTTGTAATTAATGGCATTGAAAAACGATAGAAAATGCATCAACTTGGAGAACCAGGATCATCCAGAAAGTATGTTTGTTTGTAATTAAGCACAAAGCTACACAATGAGCTATCTGTGCTCTGCCCATCATGGGTATCGAAACCTGGATTCTAGCGTTGTAAGTCCGCAGACATACCGCTGTGCCACTGAGGGGCCATCCAGAAAGAAACCTGCAACAAGTTTACCTCAATGGTGGTAAGCAAAGTGGGGCGTCTTTTAACAGGTGAAAATCCACGAACACAAAGGTCAGTGGCAAAAGCTCTCCACATGTTCTTAACAATAGTATGCAACATGATGAAGAAGGATCTCCGTCTGGTAAAGTGATACAAGTCACGTGTACGAATTGCTTTCACGACATATTCGTACAATATCGCATAGCCCAAGTAGCTGAAAAATAAAATACATATTCATTGTACTCCATACGAAAGCATAATGTTCAAATCGCTGGACGTAGCGCCTGTGGATGTGACAGAGCGCTGGGTGGATTATGAAAACCAGCAGGGAAAAGTGGTGTTACAATCTTACAATGGAGCCTTTTGTATGGAAACTACGCTGCAGGACTATTGTCAAGTTGCACGTCATCAGATAGAGCATGACTGGACATGGTGAAGGTCTAAAATCGTTTTAAAAATATAACGAACCCAACTTTTTCATTACTATATCTAAATAATACTTACTTGACCTGGATTAACCTTCGTTGTATAACCTTTGGTGTTTTTCCTTTTCCGCTGGAGGGTGAAGCTGACAAAGGCGTACTCGACTAAAGTGGCGAATACAAAAGCTATGCATCCTAACATCCACACATCAATAGCCATCACGTATGAGATGGATGGAATGGACGATTTTGCCTGCTGTGTTACAAGCGTCAGCAAGCTCGTTACGCTGAGGGCGACCCTAGCAGGAGCGCTCTCTGGTGGTAGCCAAAAGGAAATCATGGACATAATAACAACCAGGAAACTTGGGATGTATGTATGAATTACGAAGTATCCAGTTCGTCTCTTCAAATGTATGATTCCGGTTAAACGAGTAAAATTACCTAAAACAGAAATAAATACATTGGAGTAGTTACAATCACTCATCCTCTCAAATATAGACTGGTTTTATCTAATTGTCTAAAGCTACAAAAAAACTCTGGTTCCGAATAGTAATTGTGACTTCAAAACTCATATTTTCACGATTATGGATAACTTGAAATTGTGAAACAGTTTCCATAACAGTTACACGAATAAACGGTAAAGAAGTGAAAAACAATTTTAATATATACAAACAAATATATGTATGAAATTTACAGACTATATTAAATTGCAAATAATGTAAAACTTTAAAATAAGACAGAAGAAAAAAACAAGATCAAAGGAACTTCACTTACAACACATTTCCTAATAAGTGCATTGGACACGTAAAAATATGTGGATACATTCTGAATAGTTCTTTTGTTATTGATTCCAAAAACATATGAGTGAAAGAAAACAAAAGAGTATATGTTATAATATTGCAGTGAACAATACTGCTATATTCAGTGTGGACGAGAACCTTTACCCAATACCAGGTGAATAGTGGTCTATGCGTTATTATATGTCACCAATTTTCATGGACGACGACTGTTGTGTGAATCAGATTAAGCAAGGGAATTGAGATTATTATCAATTTATTTAAATTAATTAGAAATCTGATTTTTAGATGAGAATTAATAACATTAATTATTATTTTACAAATTTTAAGGTAACTTTGAACGTTCAATAAGTATTAAGATTTTAGGTATAACTTCAGTTTCCAGCTTAAAGAGTAAGACATGTTATCATCTAATGGTTTTTTGTCTTATCTTTGAAAAGAGAAGAGAAAGAGAGTTACAATCGCGGATCAAAGAAAACTATTTCTTCCGAATTATAAAACACAGAAAAATTATCACACTCAGCCACAGGTCACGGAGAGTGGTGAAACGTTTACTATCTCTACTCTCTCCAAATCTCATGTTTCCTGTGTTGATATTTTGAGAGTTTTAGCGACATTACCAGTTTTCTTGATTCGGACCAATTTGACTTTAGTTTCTGATCCCAGGCCCCTTTTTTCGGGCCTCTTTCTTCCATCCATTGCGGGCGGTGATGATCTGAATAATCGTGTTTAGTAACTCAATTTCTATTTCTATCCTCTTTCTTTGATTTACGCCTATGAACGCATTGCTGTTACGAGAGAATGACGAACATAAAATATTACAGTTTTTATTATCGTTTGTTTTAACTGTTTTTGGTACAGTAATCGATGTTGTGCTTTTTTTAGGTTATTCTCTTTAGTGCCACGGAAACTGTTTTTTTTTCCAAGAGAAGTAACTCGTGTATGCATATAGATCGAGGCAGTGGTTTCCAAACTTGGGTGTCGCGGCAAGTTGCTAGAGTTGTCGAACAAATCAAGATAAGTGGGGTTATGGTGTCGTGAGTTTGGAATCTCATTAGGTTCAGGTGGCCGAAAAGATACAAACATTATTCTTTTACACAAAGTTAGCGTCGCCAAGTTGCCCAGGAAATTTTACGAATGTAATAAACAGCAAATCGAGCATGAACAAAAAACGTTCGCGATCACGAATAAAGAAAAATCAATAATTCTTAATCGGGAATCACGCGACATTATTAATCACGGAAAACATAAACAATCCAATACCACAAGTCACAATAAACCTATATTCCCCCAACCTCCAAAAACAAATATTTTAATAGGCATGTAAAGAGTTTATTTAAATACATAGCTTTCTGACAAATATTTACCAAATGCGTGAAAACCCATGATGGCGATGGATTGATATTCTGGTGCGGTGAAGATGAAAAAAAAAAACATTTTCCTACAAAACTCTATAAATTTAATCCGAATGAAATAAAAATTTAATTTTCAACAGAATTACAATTCCTAAAATGAAAGATTCTAAAATTCCTACAATATATTTTAATCAAAAGTCATAAAGGAAAATCATGTGATAAATAGTCATATATATATATATATATATGTGTGTGTGAATCTCACTATATTAATCTGTCACCTCTCTATGTCATTTAAGAAAACAAATAAGAGGGAAATAAATTTTCTGAGTTACAATCTAGTGAGTTCTACTCATCATAAGAATTGGAATCCGCATAACGTTGGGAAATCATACAATAAGATAAAATCACAGTAAAAAGCACAACGTTTCGACCAACTGCTCTTCATCAGACTTGTTTTTATTTCAACGTTCTGTTTTTACAATGAATTTGTTCCATTACAATTCTACACATTGACCTTCTGGGTGCAATTTAAAAAGGCTTTTTTAAAACGATAATTTTTTTATGATGTTATTGTAAAAGAAATATAAATGGTTAATTAATTCGTATTTTAAATTGGTCATGCAACAAATAAACGTTTAATTATGATAAAATTACTGCCAATCTCATGGGGAATGCATAAATGTTGATATTCTGGCTTAAAGTATTTAGTGGAATATCTTCCTAAACCAACTAAATTATTTTACAGTGGTTCATTAATTTTAAGTGAAAGAAAAACTCATTATAAATGGGAATTTCAATACATTTACTTCAAAGCTATATACATAAAACACAGAAGTTTTCAGCTCTTTGCTTTGACTATTTATAAGTTTAAAAATAGCCAATAAACTACAGAGTTAGGTGATCTTTGTTTCGTATTATTCAGACGCCTTAGTTGGTATAATCTTTCAAAATCACCTTGAAAATAAACTACTAGATATAAGTGAAAATTGGCAGTACCAGGTGGTGAAAACAGAGTAAACACGACACGCAGCGTTTTGCTGCCGTTATCAGGCGACAATGAAGTAAAAGAAGGAAGAAAAAAACACATATCGCAGGTCATAACACCAATTTTTTCTTTTATATTACAGTTTCTACTAGGCCTTCATTTCAAACTGCTATTTCTACTCTGTGGACTAAACTTCAGGAAAAATGAATAATACACAGTATTCAGTCTATTCCAAACATAAATGGCTTTTCAATCACCTTTTTCGATTTAAAGAAACACGTCATCGTGTTATAATCGGTGAAAATATTCCTCTTAAAGTACCAAATTAAAATTCACACTTCGCATTTTGGAAGTCTTATATGCGTCATAAAGATGACAGTCAAAACCCATCATTCTATTAGAGTAGTCCAACAGATAACACTGGATGCCGTTTATTAGCTGCTTTCTCTCTAATAGATCAGTTAAACATTAGGGACGGCTAGCATTGATTACCTTTGAACGAAAATCATAAAACAACGATTCTTTTGTATATATATATTTTTTTTCTAGTACTATTTTAGTTTTGAAAGAATACATATAAAAATCCAATAAAAGGACTTGGTGCAAAATAAAATACAAAGAAAATAATTAATATGATGTATTATAAAACGAGCTTTAATAACGTATGAAAAGCTTGCAAGATTTATGATTACATAATGATTTCTTACTTTCTATAGAAGTGAAAATTTCTCTAATAAAGGGTTTGTTAGATTCTTATTCAGCACATTGGGCTATCTGTTCCGGCCCCACCGCGAGTATTGAAACCCGGATTTTAGCGTTAGAAGCCCTGAGCCATCAAAAGAACAACCGTAAAAAAATTGGGAAAGAAAGAGATCGGTATTTTTTTTTTTTTTCGGATTTTTATTTGTTTCAGTTGTAGAATCAACTTAATCAAAATCAAATTAATCCCATTTTAGGTCATCTACCAGACCATTAGGTGGTATATTGGTGACTTTTATAATGCCTGATCGGCAACTTTCACAGGAAATCAGCGACCCCTAAAATTCAACTTTAGCCATCCATAAATTAGAATCACTAACCAAAAAGAACGCAACCAACAAGCAAACCCACGTAGCTACTTTTAACCGAATAACGGAATTGGCTGTCACAGTTATAACGCCCCCATAACTGAAAGTATAGAGCGTGTTCAGCAGCATATCGAGACTCTAACCATTGACCTTCTGATTCCCAACTGGAATGCTAACCATTAGGCTACGCCTAGCCTTCCAAAAAAAGAACAATCGCCACCTAGTTTACGTCAGTAAACAACAAACTGTGCTTTAAATTCTCTTATAGTACACTATATCAGTTAAGACTAGCAAAATGTCCCCCAGTAGGCAGCCTAGTGGTTAGGGTTGCGGGTTCGAATCCCCGTTACACCAAACATGGTCACTCTTTCAGCCGTGGAGGCGTTATAATGTGACGGTCAATTCCACTATTGGTTGAAAAAAGAGTAATCCAACAGTTGGCGGTGGGTGATGTTGACTAGTTGCCTTCCCTCTAGTCTATCACTGCTAAATTAGGGACGGCTAGCTCAGATAGCCCTCGTGTAGTTTTGCGTGAAATTCAAAACAAACAAAACTAAACACCAGTAAGTTTACGGAGCTAAAATCCAATAACCCAATGTGGCTTAAACGAACAAACAATTTAATGTAGTTTTATAGTTCATTTGAACCTAATTCAGTTAAGTTTGTTATGAAATTTGCACAGAGCTACACGAATTGTCACGTTTATAATAAATAAACAACTCTCGCAGTGTCAAGTTTATAAGTAGACAACTCTCGCAGTGTCACATATATGAACAAGCATCTCTCACAATGTCATGTAAGACTAAAGGGAAGGCAGCTCTAGTCCTCACCACCCACCGCCAACTCGTAGGTTAGTCTTTTACCAACAAATAGTGGGACTGACAGTCACATTATAAAGCCTCCACGACTGAAAGAGCGAGCATATTTGATGTGACGGGGATTCGAACCTGCGACCTGCAGATTGCGAGTCGAGCTCCCTAGCCACCTGGTCATTTAAAACAGTCCTTATGTAATAGTAATGTTTCTCAACACTTTCTGTATTAAAGCACACTTCTAATATTCTTTATACATGTTTTCTAAATTAGCATATTTAGTTAAACAGGATCATTTCATATTCACCAAAACCATAGCTATCTTGTTCCTCTTTCGTTTCTGTTTTGATGACGTCATGTTGAGGTAGAACGATCTGACTGCTAACATCCATTCTTTTCCACACCAACTTCAGTTCCTTGTCGGTGTAAGACACTTTAACATAAAAACAAATTAAAGGTAATTAAAATAATAATTGGGTGTGCAAACCACGTCGATGTTACATGATTTACATTGAAGAGTCTTATTCTAAAAACTCGCTAACACAAATGTACACAACGGACTGTCTTTGTTGCTAAAATTATTCGTTTTCATAAGTTATTTAGTTTTTACTCTTAACGTCTGTGTTGTTTCAAAAGCAGGGGTCGAATCCTGAATTTTAGAATTACAAATTTTCAAACTTGTCTCTGAGCCATCGGGCAGGGGTGGAAAAGACTGTATATTAATTTTTTTTCTTGGTATTGTTTGTTTTTATGTTAAAGTGTCTTACACCGACAAGGAACTGAAGTTGGTGTGGAAAAGACTGTATATTAATTTTCTTTCTTGGTATTCCTACGCAAATCTTAAAATATACTGTTATTTCTAAAAGCACAAACGTCTTCGCGTTGATCATTTTCTTGAAGATACTTAACTTAAAATTGTGTTAAAACTAACAGGAAATCTTTGAACGCTGTCAACCAGTTCTGTTGTGACTTTGTTTTTATTTTACACACAATAGGTTATCTAAGCATAAATAAATAAAATCCAACTTAGACGTAGTCGATTAGAAAAAAACTTAACTCTTTCCATACAGGCAAGTTCTACTTCAATATAAATCCTTCTGTGTATAAAACATGTTCATGATTAAATAAACAGTCTTATATGTGAAATAATCCATCATGATCAATGTCACGTTTATAAAAAAACAAGTCTTCTAGTGCCAAGTTTATAAATAGAAAAATCTCCCAGTGTCACATTTATAAACAAGCAACTCTTCCAGTGTCACATTTATAAACAAGCAACTCTCCCAGTGTCACGTTTATAAACAAGCAACTCTCCCAGTGTCACGTTTATAATAAACAAACAATTCTCACAATGTCACGTTTATAAACAAGCAACTCTCCCAGTGTCACGTTTATAATAAACAAACAATTCTCACAATGTCACGTTTAAAAACAAGCAACTCTCCCAGTGTCACGTTTATACATAGATAACTCACCCTTATCAGATTTATAAATAGACAACTCTCGCAGTGTCACATATATGAACAAGCATCTCTCACAATGTCATGTTTATAAACAAGCAATTTTCCCGGTGTCACATATATGAACAAGCATCTCTCACAATGTCATGTTTATAAACAAGCAATTTTCCCAGTGTCACATTCATAAACAAACAATTCTCTCAGTGTCACTCTTATATATAAGCAAATCTTCCTGTATCAGATTTATAGATAATTATTTCACTAACACGTTTATACATAAAAACAGCTCTCCCAATGTCAGGTTAATACAGAACCAGCTCTCCCTAATCCCAGTTTACACAAAAATAATTCTAGATCGGGTAAATGTATTTGTTTACCCCCGAAGAAGATAGAATCATCTACCAAACGTGTTAGGATTTTAATTGTTCTTGTTTTTTAATATGACTAATCTATCTTTTGATCATGCGCGTGTTGTTGTTTTACACCATCATGAACTAACTACTGGTTATAATTGATTAATATTCCTAGAACAGATATCCCCTTGTTTTCAATACCGAATGACGCATTATTTCCACTTTGCTAGTCAAACGTGACAAGTGTATATGTTAGCAACGTTGCTAGTATTCTATTGTTAATTGGAATCTGGGTGACGAGTCAAAGATTTATAACAAAATGGAAGGACCTGATTCTTTATCTCTAATTTTGTAGTTTTTGCTTCCACAATACTTATTCTAACATGAAATCAATATTTAAACAATTAGAACTCACAGCTCTTGAGTATAATAGCACAGGTCTGAGTATCGTGAGGATAATTCCTCAGCACCATATCACACGTTAACTTCAGGCTGATTCTGGTGAGGAGATGAAAATGAGAGTTTCGTTTATTAATACCTACATATAATAAATAGAAAATCGAATGAAATAAAGAAAAAACAACTTTACAACGTACGAGGTGAACGTATATAAGAAAAACACTGGAATATCAGACTATTCTGTTTTAGGTTTACTGACATTCTCTAATAAAAACATTCAACTAAACTAAATACATATATTTTCCAAATTTACAAACAATAATCTACTCTATCTACGGTCCCCGGTGGGATATCGGTAAGTCTTCGGATTTACAATGCTATGATTATAGGTTCGATTCTCCTCGGTGGACACACCAGTTATCCTTATTATAGAATCACATACTCCAAATGAAAATTAAAAATGATCAAAATAAATAAAATCTGTTAAAATTAATCTTTCCTTTTTAAATTAAAATGTTATTTTGATTATACTTTCTCTCGTTATTTAGAAATACAATTTGTTTATTATACTCTTACATATAGAATAGCCCCAGTGTTTTGTTATTTATAGTCACAGATAAATCTTATTCTGTTTTCAAACAATAGAAAACGGTATTACAAACAAACCAGATTCTTCAAACCCTAAGTCGGTATCTTTCATTGTTCTGTTAAGTTCACTTTCTATTTCAATAATATGTTGTTAACCAGAACCAGCTCTGTTTTCAAACAATAGAAAACGGTATTACAAGCTAACCAGATTCTTCAAACCCTAAGTCGGTATCTTTCATTGTTCCGTTAAGTTCACTTTCTATTTCAATAATACGTTTTTAACCAGAACCAGCTCTGTTTTCAAACAATAGAAAACGGTATTGCAAGCTAACCAGATTCTTCAAACCCTAAGTCGGTATCTTTCATTGTTCCGTTAAGTTCACTTTCTATTTCAATAATACGTTGTTAACCAGAGCCAGCTCTTGTACACGTAATATGTACTAAAACGTCTATGGAATCTCAAAAAGAAAAAAATTGTACTGTCATTATATAAAAAATATAGTATATATATAAAACACAGCTTCAAGTTAAAAGGAAAAAAATTGTACTTGTCATTATATAAAAAATATAGTATATATTTAAAACACAGTTTCAAGTTAGACTTTTAGGTCGAATAGCACCTAACATATACTAAAAGTTAGATAAAGTAACTGAAACATGGCAGTCTTTATTCTAAGGTTATGTATAGCTTGATGTGCTATTGGAAAATACTGAAAACTAGAACTGATGACAGAAATCGAAAGGAACTTCATATGAACCTACACGTGCTTAGTGTTTTATATTTCTGTTTGGATGCTATTAATAACTTCTAATCAATATAAGTTACCTACATTGAACTAAACACCAACCCAGTAATACGTATAGCTTATTTAATACACTGTTCTGATTATAATGGTTATAATATTGTTTCGTCAGTTTGTATCACAGTAATATCTCACGAGGTTCGGCCACTTTAGTTTGGCCCTAAATCCACATACTAAGCTAATATAATAAATTATTTTTTCTATAATAAAAAGAAGCATATTAAAAATTATTACCAATACTGTTAATGAAAGTAGCATTAAAGAAAGACTAGCGTATAACCTATTTGATGAATTGTTGTTTTGCATCATTCAGGGTATAACCTGTTTAGGATGATGTGATTACCTTGTCTAATCATGAAAATTATAAACTTGGTGAAATAAAGACGTGAAGCCCAGAGTATGATCCGATTCATTATTGTAGCAATAAGACCGGTTTCTGGGAATTCCCCCTTCTCATCAGAAATCCTCATCACGTTTTCTTCTAACCGAAGCTTTGTTTGTTTGAAGTTAAGCACAAAGATACACAATGGGCTATCTGTGCTCTGCCCACCACGGGTATCGAAACCCGATTTCTAGCGTTGTAAATCCCCTGACATACCGCTGTGCCACTGGGGGGCGCTCACCAAAGCTTACAAATTTGTTGATTACAGAAGGAAAATGTTCTATATTTCTAACGAGAACATTATCGACAATATCTGCTATACATGATGTAAATAATATGTTCTATATTCCTAGCGAGAATATCTGCCGTACATGATATAAACTAACATGTTCTATATTTCTAGCGAGAACATTTTCGACAATATCTGCATACATGATATAAAATAACATGTTCTATATTTCTAGCGAGAACATTTTCGACAATATCTGCATACATGATATAAAATAATATGTTCTATATTTCTAGCGATAACGTTATCGACAATATCTGCATACATGATATAAAATAACATGTTCTATATTTCTAGCGAGAACATTATCGACAATATCCGCCATACATGATGTAAACAATATGTTCTATATTTCTACCGAAAACATTTTCGACAATATCTGCATACATGATATAAAATAACATGTTCTATATTTCTAGCGAGAACATTTTCGACAATATCTGCATACATGATATAAAATAATATGTTCTATATTTCTAGCTATAACGTTATCGACAATATCTGCCGTACATGATATAAAATAACATGTTCTATATTTCTAGCGAGAACATTATCGACAATATCCGCCATACATGATGTAAACAATATGTTCTATATTTCTAGCGAGAACAAGAAATATAAAACATATTATTCATATCATGTATGGCGGATATTGTCGATAAAACGAGAACATTATCGACAATATCTGCCGTACATGATATAAAATAATATGTTTTATATTTCTAACGAGAACATTATCGACAATATCTGCATACGTGATATAAAATAATATGTTCTATATTTCTAGCGAGAACGTTATCGACAATATCTGCCGTACATGATATAAAATAACATGTTCTATTTTTCTAGCGAGAACGTTCTCGACAATATCCGCCATACATGATATGAATAATATGTTTTATATTTCTAACGAGAACATTATCGATAATATCTGCATACGTGATATAAAATAAAATGTTCTATATTTCTTGCGAGAACATTATCGACAATATCTGCTATACATGATATGAAATAAAATGTATTTACAAAACAAATTCGTACCTTGCATTGAAAAAAATGGTTTTGTTGGACCATAGTTTTGAATACTGGTTCTTCGTGAGAATCTCCTGGACTGTTCCACTATGAGCGTTGTAGAAATAAGTGTCCGGTCTCCAGAGTTCCTCGAAAAACTTTGGTTCCAGTGTCCGATTTATAGAACTGAAACTGACGTCACATAAACGAGGTTCTCGCCAAATGTGGGAAAGAAAGATGTCGGTCTCATAAGTCTGCAAAATGTTTAAAATATATATTTAAAGCAACCATAGAAAAAAATAGTACCTGAGCATATAACATACAATACTCTCCAGCTTATAGTAAACATTACCCAAATTTCGAGCACATGCTACCCAACTACGTATTATTCGAGGATAAAAAGCAGTACCGAGTATACATGTAGTATCTAACCATAAAGTACACGTTAATCCAGCATAAAACAGTACCCGTGTATTTGATTATAAAACTAATGAATGCACGTTAAACAAGGTTATAGTATAAGTAGTACCTGAAAATAAGAAACAATACCTTATTATTTAATACACAGTATACAACTATGCGGTACACGTTATCGGAGTTTACAGTAACAGAACCGAAGTACGCAATGTGCCGTACAAACATACACAGTATAAAATATTCAGTTCAGAGTGTCCAAGTACAAGAATACGCAGTATAAAGTGCCAAGACCTGGATATTTTATACACATTAGTCTAACATAAAGTACACACACACAGTATAATCTACTTGAGTTTGTAGCACTGAATAGCTGACTGTATAGTATACTCAATAGTTGAGTGTACAGTACACAGAGTCCTGATACATAGTGCACAGTAGTTGACTGTATAGTATACTCGGTAGTTGAGTGTACAGTACACAGTAGTTGACCGTATAATATACTCAGTAGTTGACTGTATAGTATACTCGGTAGTTGAGTGTACAGTACACAGTAGTTGACCGTATAATATATGCAGTAGTTGAGTGTAGAGT